TGGCAGGAGGCGCGGTGTACCGCGGGGAGACGGCCTCCCTGCTCTGCAACATCGCGGTGCGCGGTGGCCCCGCCGGGCTGCGGCTGGCCACCAGCTGGTGGGTGGAGCGACCGGAGGACCCAGAGCTGAGCTCCGCCCCTGCCCAGCTGGTGGGTGGCATGGGCCAGGATGGTGTGGCAAAGCTGGGGGTCCGACCCGGAGGAGGCCCTGTGAGTGTGGAGCTGGTGGGGCCCCGGAGCCATCGGCTGAGACTGCACAGCTTGGGGCCCGAGGACGAAGGCATATACCACTGCACCCCCAGCGCCTGGGTCCAGCATGCCGACTACAGCTGGTACCAGGTGGGCAGTGCCCGATCGGGGCCTGTCACAGTCTACCCCTACCTGCATGGTGAGTGCCTCCCTCCCCACCTCCCTCCAGCCCCACGCTCTCATTCCTCCCTTTCCATCTGACCCTCCTACCACTGTCCCCTCTTCCCACATCACCTCAGCGGAGAGCCCTGAAAATCCAGCTCTCCGCCCCCAGGGCCCATCTGCTCAGAGTCCTAGGTGGTGGAGTTGCTGAGTGCAGAGAGGGCAGGGGGTGGGCTGGGAGGGCTGGCTGTGATTGGGGAGGAGGGGAAGACAGCTTGATAAAGAAGGTGCTGGGACTTCAGGGAGACAGTGTGTGGGGGGCAGCGGCACCCCAGGCTGAGCCATTCTCTCTCACCCAGCCCGGGACACCCTGCTCATGCCCCTGCTGGTGGGGGCAGCGGTTGCCCTAGTCACCGGCGCCGCCATCCTTAGCACCATCACCTGCTGCTTCATGAAGAGGCTGCGAAAACGATGAGCCCTTGCCCCCGGCCCAGGTGAGGAGGGAAAGAAGCCTGGCCTTGCCTTCTCAAGCCCTGTTAGGAGCTGCTTGCCTGACCCTGTGAATTCACGGGGTGAGGGCTGGGAGGGAGCCCCCAGGGCCCTCCTTAGTCCACTCCACACTTTCTCTGCAGGCCTCACAGGTGTGACTGTCTTCCAGCCCAGCTCCAAGCCCACCTCTGGTTGCCCGGATACCCTCTCCCTCTGTCTGCTCTTCCTTTAATTTATTGGACTTACCCCCATTCGCAGTGGGGGCCTGGCCTCCACTCCCCACTCCTGCCTCCCGATTCCTCCCTCTGGCTTTGTGTTCCGTGTCTCACACCCAGCCTGCAGGGAGGCCTTCCCCATCCTGGTTAGTTTTTCTAAGATGTGAATAAACTGGTTTTATAAAATCCAGGTGTGGCGTGTCTTCCCTGCATCGCACTGTGAGAGGCTGGGGGTGGCAGGGAGGTTGCCAGGGGCTGACAGCTTTCTGGGTGACCCAGGTCTCTCTTCCCACCACAGACGCCATCTGGCCTCCGTGGGCTGTGCCGCCCACCCAGGAAGGGACACCTGGGTCCCATCTGCTGCCAATTCCTACTGGGACTCCTACTCAGGGAGGGAAGCACGGAGAGGCGAGGGGGCCCCCGCTCCCAGCTTCTCCTCGGTTGTAGGGCACAGGCTTCCAGGGGCCAGTGCCCCGTCTGAGCTCCCGGCAGCACCTGCACTCTCATTCTGCTGGTCCCGCTGGTCCCGCTGGTCCTGGACCTGACTCCTCCCACGGGCCCCGGGACCTCAGCAGATTTCCTGGGATCTTCATTATTCTGTCTGACAGCAGCAGAGTAGAAGCCCCAGTCCCAGCGGGCACGGCTCTGGTTGAGCGTCAACCTATGAACCAGGAGGTCGGTTCGATTCCCGGTCAGAGCACTTGCCCTGGTTGTGGGCTCAGTCCCCAGTGTGGGGTGTGCAGGAGGCAGCCGGTCAATGATTCTCTGTCACCATTGTTTCTATCCCTCTCCCTTCCTCTCAGAAATCAATAAAAGAAGAAGCCCCAGAACACAGCCTGCTTGGGCGGTGGGTACACAGCAGCCAGGGCAGGCCTGTGTATCCATAGCCCCTCACAAACCCGCCCCGTAGCCTGCAGGCACCCCAGGCCCTACCTCACCCTCTGCCTAAGGGATCTTTAACCTTAGGATTCTTGCTACACTGCACCGTAAGGGCACAGTCTACTCTTTCTTTTTTTAAAATCATTACATATGTATATAATTTTCTTTCAGTCTCCCATTTCAGTTATTTAAACATTTATTGAGCATTACTGGTTTGCTAAGTGCTGTTCTTACAGGTGGGGAAACTGAGGCCCAGAGAAGGGATGTGACTTACCCAGAGTTATAGAGCTCATCAGTGACAGTGTCGGGACTAGACCTCAGTCTCCCGACTCCTTGCACTGTACCCAGCGGTGCTGAGTGGCGAGGACAGGTGTGGTGGTCTCAGTGCCTCCCATCCCACCCCAGTGTCTCTGCCCATTCAATTGCAGTGGATTAACTACCGTGTGAGTGTGTGTGTGGACAGACAGCCCTGCCTCCTGCACAGACTCCAGCTTTTCGTGGAATGAAGCCCATCCTGCACCCCCACATTTGTTCTTCAGGTGACGCTAGGCTTCCAGGATCTCACCTGTGATTGATGCTGGCTCAGGTGGCCCTGTGACCTGTGGCAAAGACAACCTTTCTGAGTGGACCCGAACTGGTGTGGACTCCCGGGACCCACATGCCTGCTTCCAGGAGGCACCGAGCCTCGGCCTCCCAGCCTGGACTGGAGCAGACTGTGGTTCCCCGAGACTTTTTTTTAAAAATATATTTTATTGATTTTTTACAGAGAGGAAGGGAGAGGGATAGAGAGTTAGAAACATCGATGAGAGAGAAACCGATCAGCTGCCTCCTGCACACTCCCTACTGGGGATGTGCCTGCAACCAAGGTACATGCCCCTGACCGGAATCGAACCCGGGACCCTTGAATCCATAGGCTGATGCTCTATCTACTGAGCCAAACCGGTTAGGGCTCTCCGAGACTTTTACTGAAGGACAGGAGAGGGGAGTGGCCAGTGTCAGAGGCATGCCTGCTGGGGCACACCTTTTCTCTCAGGAGGCCAGCCTCAGGTCCCCGGGAGCTCTGCTTCTGCACTTGCCATTGCTCTCCCCTCACCATCTCGCGGGGGGGGGGGGGGGGGGGGTGGCTGCCCTTGGAGACTGGGATGAACCAGGAAGGGGGTGGATGTGGAATGAGAATGGCCCTGCGGGGGCTCCCGTCCCAGCTGGGCAGACCGCAGGCCACAGACACAGCCAGATATTGGATGTCTCACTTCTCTGACTTTCTCTCCCACATTTAATTCTACAAGGATGTATCTGGTGTGTTCGTTGTAGCATCTTCGCTGCAAGCATTTTTGCCTGAAACATTTTCAATGCATAACTAACTGGCCAGAAGGCAATTTTGCTGTGAGAGGGATAAAATAACTGTTTGACAGTTTGGGGTATTTTTGTATTTGTTTGTTTGTTTTCATTTTTCCATTGACAAACCAATCACCTTCAGCAGACTTCATTTAAGCTAGTTGTCATTCTGGTTTCATTTCTCCATTCATAAAGTTCTTGCAGTACTCCCATTTTTAAATTGCATGTAAATCTTAGCTAGTTTCCATTGTGGTCTGTTCAGTGACGAGTAGACGGATGCTGGTCTTATAATAGTTAGCATTTCAGCCTTAGCTGGTTTGGCTCAGTGGATAGAGCGTCGGCCTGCGGACTGAAGGGTCTCTGGTTCAATTCCAGTCAAGGGCACATGCCTGAGTTGTGGGCTCAATCCCCAGTAGGGGGCGTGCAGGAGGCAGCCGATCAATGATTCTCTCATCATTGATGTTTCTCTCTCTGTCCTTCCCCCTTCCTCTCTGAAATCAATAAAAATATATTTTAAAAAATAGTTAGCATTTCTTCCAGATAACGATGATTTGCCCCCAAAGTTGGTTTCTTACTTTGAAAGACACCACCTTGGGAGCAGAAAGAGAGGCCAAGGTCCCTCTTTGAAGGCGCAGAGTGGAACCCACATTTCCCACAGAACTAAGCCAAGTAGTTACGTACAACCACAAAATAAAATCAGTGACCTGTGCAGTACTGCCGCGAGGCCGCAGCCTTTTAAAATGTACTCGAATACCTTGTATTTTGCAATAAAGTCTTTTATTTTTTCCATCACCGTGTATCCTCTATGCTTTTAGTCTCCCTCTTTTTAATGGCAGAATTGCCTTATAGCCAATCAGGTATGTGGCGAAAATGTTTGCGGCCAAAATGCTTGCAATGAAGATGCTACTGGGAAAGAATGCCCAGGGAGTTCCCTCTGCCACTTCCTGCTGCAGCTCCCACCACCTCCCCAGGAATCCCCTCAGGGCCGCTACTGCTTCCTCCTATCTGAAATGCCTGCTTATCTTCCCCAAACACTCTCTCTAGCTGTCACTGCCTGTTTCCACCTGGGCCCAGAGTTAAACTCATCAGCCTGGGTTTTGGGGTACCTCTCCCCACACAAGACTCCGCTCTGTATATCTCAGTCTCCACCCCAAGATCCCCCAGCTTCTCCTCAGCTTGTGTGCTCCATCTCCAGGTCTTTGCTTAGAGGAGGAGCCCTCCAACTGTGGTCCGCATTCCAGCCGTGTCAGCGTGACCTGGGAACTTGCTAGGCATGAAAATGTTTGGTCTCCGCCTCAGACTGATGCAGTCAGAAGCTCTGGGAGTGGGGCCAGTGTTTCCACAGCCCTTCAGGTGACTGATGCACACTCAAGCATTGCAGCTGATGGCTCAGACATTCTCCGTGCCTTGCTCAACCCCCAGCTTTCAGATTACCAAACCTTTCTACCCCTGCCCAGAGACTGCTCAGGCTCTCCGTTTGAAACAGTTGCCATGGGGCCGAAACCGGTTTGGCTCAGTGGATAGAGCGTCGGCCTGCGGACTCAAGGGTCCCAGGTTCGATTCCGGTCAGGGGCATGTACCTGGGTTGCGGGCACATCCCCAGTAGGAGGTGTGCAGGAGGCAGCTGGTCGATGTTTCTCTCTCATCGATGTTTCTAACTCTCTATCTCTCTCCCTTCCTCTCTGTAAAAAATCAATAAAATATATTAAAAAAAAAAAAAAAAAAGAAACAGTTGCCATGGGAATATTTCTGTTTTTCCCAGGCGCACTATATTCCGAGATAGGAAATGGGTCTCAGACTGTCCATCCCCATGTGCCCAGTTGAGTGTTCTATGCCCAAAGGACACCCAAATGAATGGTATGAGTGACTCCTTCTCACTAATTCTGCTTTCCCAAGGGCCCCCATGTCCCAGCTCTAGTGAACTCACCTCAATCTCTCCCTGGCCCTCTTCCTCCTCAGAACCCCTCTCTGCTCTCAACCGAGGTGTTTATGACATTTCACTCCTTTCCCAGGGCCCCGGCTCTGGTAGCTCCCTACTCCTTGCTTCCCTGTGCAATAGACAAAGCCATTCAGCCTGCTGGGCCACTCCTACAGCCCCTCATGCTCCCATTCAGCCTGCCACAGGGGTAGGGGTGGAGCTGGGAGGGCAGCCTCCTCAGCTCTGCCCACCTCCATCCAGCTTTCCTCTGGGTCAGCTGGGCTACTGTATCTGGTGAGATAGGTGTGCCTGGCACAGGAAGCAGGCCAAGGAGGTGAGTGCGGGCTAAGATCCAGCCCACGTTCTGTGCCCCAGGCCACTCACCCTGGTTTGGGGTGGTGTCAGTCTGGAGGAAAAGGGTGCCTGTTTAGAATTTGTACAAAGATGCTCAGTGGGTTAGCAGCAGCCCTGAGTGTACCACCTGTCTGTCGGTCCTCTTACCTATCCACTAGCTGTCTCCCTGTCTGCTTCCACCTTCCCACCCAATCCACATAAGTCCATCCTTCTGCCCATTCCACCCATGAGCAGATGTGAAGGTCAAACATGAGAGGCCGGTCCGTTCACGCTCCCTGCCCTCCATTCTCTTGATATCAGGGTGCCTCCTTCCACATTGGATCCTGGACCCGAGATTCTGAGGGGCCCCTCCAGCCTTAGCATGTTCCCAGGCACCTCACCGGACTCCTCCACCTCCACTACCCAGCGCCCTAGGTGCCTGTGTCTGATCCTGCCACAGGGTCTGCAAAGCTGGTCACACCTTAGACTCACTCTCTGGCGGGGGCAGGCAGCCATTCTTCCCCTTGTCAGCCCCAGCCTCTCCCTCCACCTCCTCCCCTGCCCCCTCCCTTGCCCCCTCTTCCTCCACTCTCTCATCCAGCCGGCTGGGTATAGACCAGTAGAGATGGGCATCCAGGCGGGCCTCTGCCTCGGCCAGCTCCCGGGCGCTGCATGAGGGTGTGGGCACCTCAAAAGTCTGGTGGAAGCTGGCATAGTCCACCTCGTAGAAGCCGTCCTCCAGGGTCAGCACTGATGTGAAGCGGTGGCCCCACAACACCTCGTCCACCAGGTAGGAGCTCCGAGCTTGGCATGTCATTCCTGGGGGGAAGGGCATGGGTCAGAGGGAGCCCAGCCCCGGGCTTCTCTCTCCTGCCTCTCACTCCATGACCCGATTCTCAACACCTTGCCTCATATCCCTCCCCGAGGGCCCCACTCCCTTTTGGTCCCACCCACTTTTCTCCCTTTCCCAACTCCTGAACTTGCTCAGTTCTCTCATCTCTCCTCCATTTGTACAGCCCCTCTTCACCTCCAACCCGCTCTCTTCCTGCCTCTCCACTGGAGATGCCAATCAGAGAAGCTTAACCTTAAAATTGACCTTGGGGATCATCTAATCCAACGTTCCTCTCCATATAGAGCTTCCCACTGGAGCATTCTCAACTGTGGGCATCTGGCTTGCACTCAATTACCTCCCAGTGTCGAGAGCTCACCACCTCGCAAGGTGCCCGCTCCTTTGCGCGATGGATGTAATAGTTGAGCTAAAATCTGCCTCCCCGGATTGCCACCCTTTGGTTTCATTCCTCCCGTATGACACCCCTTCAAGTATCTGAAAGAGGTTACATCTCATCTTCTCTTCTTCAGGCTGAACATCCCTGTCACCACTGCTCATGTGACCTGGGTTTCCAAAATTTTACTTTCTTGACTGTAAACCAGAATGGCCAAGGAGGATCCATTAAGCACTCTCTGATAAGGAGTCCAATTGAGGCCTGATCCTTGCATGAGAGAGGGCTTCGCACTGCTCTCTTCTGGCCATAATGCTCTAGAGCAGTGGTTCTCAACCTTCCTAATGCCACGACCCTTTCATACAGTTCCGCACATTGTGGTGACCCCCAATTTCATCGTTACAAATTGAACATAATTAAAGCATAGTGATTAATCACAAAAACAATATGTAATTATATGTGTTTTCCGATGGTCTTAGGTGACCCCTGTGAAAGGGTCGTGACCCACAGGTTGAGAACCGCTGCGAGTCTAGCCAATAGGGCCGAAGATTACATAAACGCGTTGGAAGCTGGATCACACTGCTCTGACATGAAGCTCGTGGCCAACTCAAACCCCCAGTTCTTTTTCACCAGAGCTCTTCCATGCTGTGCTTACATAAGTGATTTTCTTTAAAGTCTAAATGTAGACTTTTATATTTACTCCTTTTAAATGTCATCTTGTTGGATTTGGGCTCATTATTCTTGCTTTTCAAAAGCATTTTGGATCCTGGCTCTCACACTCAAAATAATACCATCCTTTCTAGTTTTGCTGCTCCAGAAGTCAGACAAGCTCCATCCCTATCTTCTCCACCCCACCCTCCTGGCCCTGGGCCTGTGTCCGGTCCTCCCTCTTGGGTGGGCACACCCCTAGGGCAAGCGGTTCTCCTCCCCCGGGGCCTCTCCCTTCCACCTCAGCCCACATGCACCTCCGAACAAGGGGGGCAGGGTGAACACCAGCTGACCAGACTGGTTCTCACCAGGGCAAGCCCCACACAGACACCTCAGGGTCACTGCAGTCTTCCTTCCCTTGATGAAGGCGGGGATAGGAAGCTTCCAGTGAGGGAGAAGAAGAGGCCAAAGGGACCCTTGGGACAGGGGGCTGAGACGGAGTGAGGGAGGGGCTGGGTGCACAGGGAGAAGAGGGATGGGCAGGAACATCCTTGTAGGGGAGGGGCTGCCTCAGGTGCTGGCAAACAGAGCTGGAGGGATAGAGAGAAAAGGGGAGGGAGAGAGCTAGGGGAGCCCCGGGGGTGGTTAAGAAGAAAAGGGGAACACAGGCAGAGGGTGTGGGTAGAGGATCAGCTTGAAGGGGCCAGGAAGAGGCTTGTGGGAGAAGCCGGCCGGCTGAGTGCAAAAGCTCTGACAACAGTGGCCGGAACCACGTGGGCCTTAGGCCATCCACCTGCAGTTCTCGAAGCCGCCTCCCGCTCGCTCGGAGACCTCAAGCCCCGAAGGATCTCACCGCTGCGGGCGCTGGTCTTCTACCTTCCTCCAGGGCTTTCACTGTGTAGCCTGAGCTAGAGGCACTGACATCACAGGGCGCTGCCAGTCCTCCCGGGAGCCACTAGAAATGCTAAGAGCACCTAGTTCCCTTGTCGGTGGAAGCTGAGACTCTTTGGATGGATGGGGAAACTGAGGCAGAAGTGAGACCAGGTGTCAACCTCTCGTTAAAGGCCAGCCTGGGCCAGCCTAACTCAGGTCAGGGAACACCCTCACCACCAAATGCCAGGGGCCTGGGCGAGACTCTCAGAACCGCCCCCTTCCAACCTGTAGCACTAAACACGGAGGCCAGCTCTGCCCGCTCCAGGCGTGGCCACTGAATAGCCTGTGGCTGCAGACGACTTGCTTAGCCTTCCGTTGGGCAATCTCCTCTGAAACAGGAGCACAATAACAAGCTCCCCTGGAGAGGTGCTGGTTAAGATTGAATGAACTCAGAGGTGTCAGGGGCGTGGGAGCCGCAGAACAGACAAGCACTGATCACAGCCCTCTCCCTGAGCCCAAGGGCAGACCCCTCGGCCAGGGCCCAGGCCAGGGCCGCTTCGGGGATCTCCCGGCTCTCCCTGGCTTCTCGTTGGGGTCACTCTGCTTACATGCCCTGCCCAACCGAGGTCCCCCGTCTCACCGTATTCTCACCCCCCACCAGCCTCTCAACCCCTCCCGGGCCCCGCCCCG